CTTGAAATTTATCAAATAAACACATAGTAAATTGCTAAATAGCTCAAATATCAGGTATATTATGATAAATTTCCCAAAACTTTATGAGATTCTATATTATAGAACAATTTATCTTGAAAGTCACCCTCGTGGTAGTGCAAGAACAAGAAAGTCCAAATTTATAGTTTTAAGGTGAAAAGCCAAAGTTTCCCCTCTTAGCAACACTCACATGTCAATAGTCAAAATAAAAAACCATATAGCCACTTTTAACTGTTTTATCACCGTCGGATGGTGGTGAAGAGGGGGACCTCCACCTAAATGCTTTTGGTTATTCCAATTTTTCTCCATCACCATACGTCCCATGATTAAATGGTGATTAAACTCATGGCCATCAACTCTTCATACTTTATAGTCAATATGGATCATAATATACATGACACGGTTTCTATGAGTCCATGTAAAAATGAGTCACCTCTTAAAAATCTATTTTCGAGATGGATTTTTTAACTTAATTTTCAAGGACCTGTAATCTCTAACATGGAGATCATGGATATTAAAAAATAAATGAATTTTGAAAATAATAATTCTATTAAAAAACATTTAAACGGTTGGTTTCAATTATTTATATATGGACTGCATGAAACAATTTTTCTAATATACATCCATACTGCTCTATGTTGATGGTTGAAGGGTGCTCATAGTAATTTATTCAACTAAAAGGTAAAAACATGCATAAAATATCCATTCTATCATAAAATAGGGATAGCATAGCATAGTGTGGATGGTGGAAGGATGCTCAATAGACAACAATTCAGATTTTACTTAGCCCTATCAAAGTGTCAAAAAGTTATGAAATTGTCTACAAACCATTTACCTTTTGTATAGGGAGGTCACAAGTATTTTTGTCTCTTAGATTTCAAAATGGGTGGTTGTAAGAGTCTCATTGATTAGACATAAAATTTCAAAAAAAAATTATCAGACTTCATGACTCACCCCAAATCATCCAATTTGAAATCTAATGAGTGAGAATAGTTGTGATCTCCTGCTGCTTTTGTGAACAATCACAAAAGTTATTATGTTTTTATTTTTTTTTCATATTACAAATTGTATTAAGTTAAATATTAGAGGGTAGATAAATTCACACAAGGTGTACTCAACAAAAAAGGATTTTTTAACAAAAATTGACTAGAAACCCCTAAATATTTTAGGGTTATTCTGGTATATTTTTAATTCAAAATTATCTTTTACTGTTTTTATTGTTGAGCTCTATAAAAATAGATCTATGCCCAAATTTTTATGCTGAATAAATTTATAAAACTGAAAATAATAAATAAATAAATTCGTAGCTCTTGGACATGACCTAATTGACTATGAATGCTTAGAAAAGTGCTAGTGTTTTGAAATCAAAATTATCTTTTACTATTTTTATTGGTGAGCTCTATATCTATGCTCAAAATTTCATTATGAATAAATTTATAAAAAAATAAAAAATAAAATAAAATCTTAACACTTAGATATGATCTGATTGAATATGAATGGTTAGAAAAGTGCGTGTATCCTTCCATTCTCTACCTGCCATTCTCTACATCACGTAGACAAGGTACTTTCCCATATAATAACCTTCTAATACTAAATAGGAGTTATTACCATAGTTAGCAAGTTGGCGTATAAAACGCGACTTTTAAAAAAATACGGAGTTTTTTTTAAGAACGTTTAAAACTGTGACTTTTTTAAAAGGTTGGCAAAAATACACCATTTTTTCATGTAAACGTTTAAAACGCGCCTTATCGATCTTTATGAAAAATCGGTCCAAAACCACTTTGCCTTTTCACATGTATTCTTTTTCCCCTAAAAGATGAATTTTTTTTTCCTATTTTATGTAGTTTTTATTTCCATGCTTTCTAAAAAGTATATTATTTCCTAAAAAAAAAAAATTCCCTAAAAAAATAAATTTTTATCCCCAAGTATATTGTTAAGATTTATTATTTTAGGGTTTATGCTCAAATCTATTGAATCAAATTAGAATAAAATACCATAAAAACCATTGAATAAAAAATCTTCAAATTTTGACTTGGCAAAATTCCACCAAAACATCCATCCAAATTAGGGCTTAAAGATTATCACAATTTATACGTCTTAAATACCTAAAACAAAAGCTTAAAAAAAAAAAAAAAACAAGATTAGAGCTCCACCCCCAAACTTATTTCTTGATTGGAAATCTTTGATTAGTAAATCCCTAAAACAAAATATTAAAAAAAAAAATCAGATTAGAGATCAATCCCCAAACCTAATTTATGACTGGAAATCTTGGATTACGGTTTATGTCAACCGTATTCTTCATCTTCTCTGAGATTTTATTTCATTTTGTTTCTATGTGCGTATGCATACTCTCTCTCTCACTCTGGGTTTCTTTATGGAATATTTTGTATTTGCTTCTTGTCTTCTTGTTCTGTGTTTCTTCTTGATCTACTATGTTTGTTGCTCATCTAACCAAAAAAGGTGTACATCTTCGCATTGCATAACTATGGTTATAAAGGGACAGTCACATACATAAAGAGAAATGAATATACCCAACTCAATTCTACTTATCTCACATTGTCGCCTTTTTTTTTTTTTTTTTTTTTTGCGTTATGTACTAAGTATGTGTGGCGTTTGTTAAAGCATTTAATGAGAAAATTCATATCGTACATTTATCACCAACTTATCATTTTATTTTATTTTTTACTTAATTTTATTTTAATTTCTACTTAATTTTATTTTAAACATGTCCGTTTTTTTCACTCCAATTTTTTGAGCCTAGTCTGATATATTTGTGATATTTTTACATAAAGTATTTTTGTCGATCCGTATTTTTGACACAATTTTTTAATCCGAATTTTTAAAATAAAAAAGATTTATTTCTGATTTTATAGTGAGCCGATATATTAATCTTCCCCGACTTTCTAACTATGGTTATGACTAAAGTTTTTTCTATATGATTAGAAGCTCAGCTCTTCTTATTATAAAATAATAATTAAACAGTTCTAGAGTAGATCACAAAATTTGGGGTGCTCTCTTTTTTTTTTTTTTGGTAATTCAGTGGGGAAGATACTTATCATGGGTACAAGGAGGTTAGAAGTGCTAGTGGCCGTGAGATTTAAAATCGTCCGATTAGGTATATGGCTATTGACCAAACCTAAAGTTTATATAGAAGCATCTATGCAACGCCTATGGGTGAAATGCTACAGTGATTTCGCCCATAGGCCAAGTGTGCGTTTTTCGACCGCCACGGACTTAGCATGTCTGTGGCGGTTAAAAAATTCACGCCGTACCGCAACGGATGGCGCCGTCCATTGCGTGTCCGTTCAATAAACCGCCACGGACATAGCAAGTCGTGCAGAGACGAAACATTGTAGCATTTTACCTATAGGCATT